CCTCTAGCGTTTCCGATGCTGACGGTCGGCCCGCCTCCCTGCCGTGGCTTGTGGTCTCGCTCACCTCAGTGTTTCCAGGGCTGGATCCCGGCTTCCTGTCACGTTCTGCCTTCGGTTCAGCGGAGGCGGCGCAGACAGGAGGGACGCTGAGGGGGGCGCCTGCACCCCCAGGACGCTGCCCGAGGGGCCCCACGGGTGGGCGGTGTAGCCCGTGCCCGCTGCGTGCGGGAGTGCCGGCCGAGTGCTGCCCGCGGTCCCTCTGGACGTGCCGCACAGTCTCCATCCACCTGCCGCCGGGGGAGGCCTGGGCTCCCCTTTGGGACCTTCCACTCACACCCCCCAGCACTGGCTTCCCTCCTGCAGGACTGGGCGTGTGGCCCCACGAGGACCTGGGTGGCGTGGCCCTGGGGTGGGAGGGGTGCGGGTCCCCACACACTCAGGGCCGCAGGCGTGGTCTGCGGGGCCAGGAGGAGGAGGAAAGCGCAGGGGGCTCTCGGACGAACAGACGCCACCTCTGAGCCCCTTTGGGACTCGCCACCCCAGCCCCACCCCTTGCACTGGGGCCGCAGGCCCCTCACCCTCATTTAGGATCTCGTCTGACTGCCAGTCCCCCACAGGTACTGGGGTGGTTCACCAGAGCCCCTCCCGCACCCCGGCCTCAGAGGCGCCAGCCGGGGTGGCCAGGTCCCAGCCCCCAGGAATGCCAGTCCCAGCCCCAGGCACCCAGACAGAGACCCACATGTGCCAGCAGCGTTTATTGGGGTTACCACCTGGGTGGGAGTATGCACGGCATACATAGCGGCCCAGGTGCCGGCCCAGAAGCACCGAGAATGGTGCGGGCAGGAACAGGCCCTGGGAGCCGGGCACAGGGTGACGGGGATGAGGTGACAGCGATGGGGTGATGTGTACCCTGGGGGGCGGCCTGCGCCTGGGGACCCCCACCACCTGGCCTGGGAGGGCGCAGCCGCCCCAGGGCCGTGCTCAGAGCTTGGCCAGCGTGGAGTGGGCGTCCGACTGCTCCTCCTGGATGGGCTTCCGGAAGCCGTGGCCTCCTGGGCAGAGGAGAGGGCAGAAGTGAGCCCCCCGGCCTCGGCCTTCAGGGGTCGGCTGGGCCATGCAGCACTCACCGGGGGGCTTGGGGGCGGCAGGCGGCCTCCAGACCGTGCAGTTTAGGAGCAGGACCAGCGCGGCAGCCACAGGGGCCAGCAGGCCCAGGCCCAGCGCCAGGCCCAGGACAGCAGTCAGCTCGGGGCCTGCGGGGAGCAGCGCTGTAGTGGGGTCCACCGCGGAGGCCAGGGCCGCCCCACCCACTCCCATGTCTCCACCCCACACCCCACGGGGCTAGGCCGGGCGCTCTTACCCCTGGGGGGCTCTGTGGGGGGGCTGGTGGGGGGCTGTGAGGTCAGGGTCCAGCGGGTGGAGGGCTGGGTGGTGGAGGGCCGGGCTGAGGGGCCCCGGGTCTGCCCGGGCTGGGTGGCCGGGAGCGTCCTGTCCTCGCAGACGGCGTCAGAGCTGCTGCTGGCGGCCTGCAGGGTGTGCTTGCCCTCCGCGGTGCAGCTGAGGGCAGGCGTCGTCAGGCCCGGCCCGTGCCCCCTCCTCCCGATGGATCCCACGGGCCCGGGACTGGGCCAGGACTGTGGAGACTGCGTCCCTGCCACCCCCCGGCCTGGCCCCACCCTCAGGGTCTCCAGGGCCTGCTCACCCCACATCCCCTCACTCACTCTGCTTCCCACTGGCTCCTCCCAGCCCTTCACCCCAACCCCTGCCCCACCATGAAGTCCTAATACAGCTCCCAGCCGTGAGGAGAGGACCTCCCACAATCCCGGTCCTGGGCTGGTCTCCCCGCTCCCCGTGCAGCCCCCGGATGAGCCGGGCCAGGGCTGAGCAGGGCGATGCCACCAGGGGGATGTGGCTCCCCGGTCCCAGGGGCCCGAGCCGTCCAGCCCCAGGACACTCACTTGGTCCAGGGTTTGCAGGCCTCGTTGTTGCCCCGGGAGAAGTGTCTGGGGGGGCACGGGGCGCAGTCTGCAACGAAGACGAAGATGAAGACGGTGGCGGCCGGGCTGTGCAGCTGGGCTCCCCCCGCTCAGCCCTAGAAGCCTTCCTGCCTGCGTCCCACCCACTGGCCCCGGCCCGCAGCCCCCACCCCGCACCCCACCTTGGCATGGCCTGTGGGGAGGGCACCGGGGCCGGTCAGGGGTGCTGGGAGTGGGTGCAGCGTGTGGTGGGGAACATGCCCGGCCCGCCCGGCTCACCGACTCCTCGCTTGAAGCCCCCGTGGGGCTGGGTGCCGGGCCGGCAGCTGCACAGAGTGTCGTTCGTGGTGGTGCACGCCCGCTTGGTCTCACTCCCACTTCCTGGGGGCACAGGGGGGGCTGCAGGACCAGCCAAGGCCCAAAGCCCCTCCCTCAGGCCCGCAGTCCCGAGGTCAGCGGCTCCTCATTCCCTCGGCCCCTGGACCCTGCGTCCGGCCCGGCCACGTGGTGCGAGAGGCGTGGCTGCCTGGCTCCCTGCCCCCCTCGTCCAGCCTCCAGGACTCCCTCGCCACGTGGCCGGCACGTTCCCCCCCTCGGTCTCCGCCCCTGGGAGGAGGGAGGGGCCGGGGACCCCCGGCGGAGCACCCTGCTGTGGTTTGGGGTTTGTGGCTGTGGGGGGGCCCCGGGCGGCTCTTCCCTGTGGCTGTGGGTCTCACGCTGGTTGCACTGCGTGCAGGGCTTTCAGGACTCGTAGTTGGTGACCTCGTTGTAGTGACCGAGTTTCGCACTTGCCGCACCTGGTGCCGTCGGTGTTCGTGCAGCGGCTCTACATCCCGAACTCTGTAGGCGAGGGGCTTGGGAGACCTAGACTGGTCCCAGGTCCCGCCACTACCCTGGAGCATCACCTACCCTGTCACACAGAGTCCAAGGTCCCACGACACCCGCAGCCCTTCACCTCCTGCGTGTCTGCCCCACATCCCCATCCCCGTGTCCACCTCCTCCTCAGGCCCCTGCCCTCCCCCTCCTCCCCCCTGCCCCACGGCCGGCTGCTCACCTGGCGGGCACTCGTGGCAGCACTTGCTGCCCCGAGGGTAGGTGTTCCCAGGGCAGAGCTTGGCCGCGGCGCCCAGCGCGAGCCCCAGGAGCAGGAGGGCGGACGGAGGTGCCCGGGGCCGCTGAGCGCCCACACACATCTTTGCCTCGGCAGCTGGGCAGGAGTGTGTGTTTTCCTTGCAGGATGTGGCTATAAAGGCTGGGGGAGGGGCGGGGAGGAGGCGGAGAGGGGACTGAGGACACCCCTCACTACCTCAGGCTCAGCCCTCCCAGCCCGTGCAGACCTGGCCAGAGGACCCCAGACCCCGACCCCCCCAGGGCAGGTCTGCACCCGCCCGCACACCAGCCCTCCCAGCGTGCCGGGCCTCACCCTCACCGACGGCGCCCAGAGCACGCCCGGAGCCGAGGCACAGCCAGGAGACAGGCCTGGGGCAGGGCCTCCTTCAGCCAGGGCTGCGGGAGGGAGCCCGGCTCCAGGGCTGGAGTCCTCGGCCAGCGGGGCGGGCAGTGGCCAGCAGTGTGGCTGCAGCCGCGGGAGCAGGTGCCTGTGTGCAGCCGCGTCTGGGCCCGTAGGTGTGAGAGGCTGGTGTCCCCGGGTCCACACGGGAGCCCTGACCCCCAGGGTGGCTGCACTTGCAGGTGACTGAGGTCAGAGGAGGTTGTAAGGGTAGGGCCTGGCCCCACACGACTGGCCTTGTTGCAAGAAGAGACCCCAGGAGAACCAGAGGGCCGGCCGGCCACGTGAAGACGTGGCAGGTGGCCGCCTGCCCGCCAAGGACGCCACAGGGGACAGCCTGGCTGACACCCGGTGTGGGAGCCCAGGCGGGGCTGGGGCAGAAGCACCTCATCCAGGCCCCATCCCTGCTCCCGGGCTGGCCGGCCAGACCCAGCCGTGCTGCCGAGCGGGTCCGCCCTCTCTGGGCAGCAGGGTGCAGCCTGGGAGCACGTGTGGGCTGTGTCCCTGTGTGCATGGCGTGTCACTGGCCCACGTGCTAGAGCGTGTGGCTGCTCCGGGAGCCCTGGTCGAGGGCGCGCCCCAGCTCCCCGAACAGAGAAGACGGACGGCCCAGCGACTGTCCCGGGAGCACGTGGTGGCCTCAGACGGGGCCTGGGAGCCCCAGGACAGGTGGGCACCAGGTGTGTAAAGGTGGAGAGAGCACACACGTACACACGCATGCACACATGCACGCACCACGCACACGTGTGCACACCCACACAGATCTGGCATCGCTGGGCGCCGGCGGCTGGGGCGGCACGGCGGGTTGTTTTTGTACCTTTTAAGTCGTGCGGTGGCCCAGGCTTACCTACTCGACAGCTAATTTAAGGAGTTTCCCAGAGAGGAGCCTCCCACAGGACGAGGCCCGGAAAGTCCCTCCTGCCGGCAGCTCAGGTAGAAGCAGTTCCCGGCCCACCTGCGGGAAAGTCCCCAGGCCACGGCGGCCGCGACGCTCAGCCCTCGGGAGCCTCTGAGGGAGAAGGTCCCCACGGGAGAGGGCAGCCTGGTGAGTGTGTGCGTGTGCGCGTGTCCCATCTCCTGGGACGTGAAAACGGCTTTTTCTTGCCAAATACAGAAAACCGTGGCCTCCGAGGCTGCTGTGACTCGGGGTCTGGGGCGACACCCTCTCCTTCCCAGGGGCCGGCGTGGGGCCCTGCCTGAGGGTCTGTCGCCTGTGGTCCCCACGCCTGGCCCACGTGCGGGGCATCTGCTCACAGGTGACCCGTGGGCACTGACAGCGGCCTGTCACTGCAGGCCCAGCCTCCGGCCCGGGGGTGCAGCCGACCGGGTGCTCACACCTGCTCCCCCCGCCCCACCTTGGCCTGGCCCCCCACCTCCCTCCACATGAGCTCCCCCCACCACCACCTCCTTCCCTCCACCACGAGCTCCCAGCTCCCGTCAGATCTGAAAACAGCTTCTGCTTTATCTGCAAACCCAGGTGTCAACTCGCCCATTCCTCGGTGGCAGCCCGGCCCCAAGCTGCTCGGAAGTGGGCCCCGTGGCAAGGGCTGGTCACATGGCTGCTCCGGGCGCCCTCTGCTCTGAAGTGGAACCTTCACAGGCCAAGCCACCCAGCTGGCCAGAAAGCCGTGCCCTGAGGTACCACAGCCATGAGGGGCCAGCGGTGGATGGGGTGCTGGGGGCGCCCACATGCCAGGTGTGTGGGGTCGGGGGCCGGCAGTCACAGCCTCAGAGCCTGATCCCCCCCCACACACCAGCCAGAGCACGGGGCACGCTGACCCTAGCAGGGTCTGGACAGCTAGTGCCACAGGGCGGACAGCAGATAAGCTGGCCCATAGCGGCCGCAAGGCGCCCCCCCCAAAGCAGAGCCCAGGGCTCAGCCTTAGATCTCCCCACAACCTCGACTCCCATTTCCTCCTGGCCCCTCATGGGCGGTTCCCGGACCTGCCTCCCTCTCCCTGGCGTGGCCCCCATCCTGTCGTGGCTCCTGCACAGGACACCCCACTCCAACCCAGGGTTCTAACCAACCCCCTCCTCAAAGCTCAAGGGAAGCCACCTGGCCACAGATGTTCCAAGCTAGTGTTTATGCGTTTTTGTCCCCCCAGAAAACGAAGCTGGAAGGAAGACAGACTACACTTTAAATAATGAGTGTGGCTCTGGCCGCAGGTCCGTGACTCTTGGGGACGGAGAGCAGCTCTGGCGCCGCCTGGGGGCCGCGCTGATCCCCACGGAACAGGTCACCGCGCCCGGCCGCGCAGCCCCAGGAACCGGGAGCTGCTTCCCCGAGGGCGGGTGAGCTGCGGCCGTGGTCAGTGCCCTGGCGGCTCCAGTTCTCGGAAGCGAAGAGCAGCGGGCGGGCGGCGGGCCCGCTCAGAACTCCTCGTGCACGCTGCGGGCGTAGTCCACCAGCTTGCTGCCCGTGAAGAACTCGCTGTACTTGAGCACCTCCTCGAGCTCCAGGTGCTGGTTCTGGTTCTCGTCCGCGATGGCGATCATCTGCTTGGCCTCGTTGAGGGCGTTGTACTCGTTCATGGGATCCATGTACTCCTGCAAGGACGCCGCGTCAGCACCGGCCGCATCTGCCCGGCCGCCGCCCAGTCCGCACCCGAGGCCCCGGGAGCCGCCAGGCTGACGGCCACAGTGCGCTCCGCCTTCTCTCCGACACCCTGTGGGCTGGCTGCAGGGCGGTGCGGGAATGTTCTGGAAGACGGACACGGTCTGGCGATGGCCCAGGCCATGAGGGTGCTGCCTCTGTGGGCATGGGGAGAGGGTGGGGAGGGGAGGCCCTGCCAGGATGGAGCCAGGGGCTTGTTGGTCACATGGACGGGGCCTGAATGGTCACCAGGACCCCGAGCTGCCCCAGCCATCACAGGGAGCAGAGAATTCTCAAGTAAAATGAAATGACTCGTCACAGCGAAAAAGTGCTCACGGCGTGTACACCGCGGGTTTCACCCACACCCTGCACCCGGCCACCGACCCCCCGACGGCCAGCTTCTC